AGTTACGTGTTAAGCAGGTGTTGGGCAGCAAGTGTCTGTGTCACTGAAGTGGGTGATGTGTCGTCACTTATATTATTACTTATATTTGGACAACCCTGGCCTAGCAATGATTTAACACATACTTAAGTATTTACGTATATAAAGTCCTGGCAGTGAATTTACATTCACCTTGACTTTTGAATGAGGCCACCGTAGCAGGCAATCAGTAAATGGCTGGATATACAAATTCAAAGCAACGCTCTTCACTATTTTCGCCAACGCCAGAAAAAAATCCTTAAAAAATACAAATACAAATTTCGTGCCGATCCAAATTTGGCCTCGAATTCAAAGTATAAATACAGTATTTTAAGTTGATGTAGATGTCAAAATATTTGATATAATATATGAATTTATTAAATAAATAAAAATGTTCCTCACGAAAATCCAATGCTGCCCGAAGATGGCTTAAAATGAACTGAAGGGTCCTGCATATTTTCTCTAATTTTTAAAGATACTAAACAAAATATACAATTTCTTTTGTTTACATATAAAAGTACAATATCTGGACAGCATATGATGAAAATTTTAATAAAAAATAGCATTAGTAAAGGCGTTGGCAGTGTCTTGTAGTAGACCGTCCACAACAAAGTGCTTTCGCGGTATTCATGAGAACTTATTCAATTTTTAACCGAAATCAAAAATCCAAATTTTTTCTTAAAGTAGGTGAATTTTCCTTGTCTCTGATTGAAGAAAAATTGGAGAAAAAAAAATTTTTTTTTTTAGGTTTTTTTTACAAGTACAAGTAAAGTACATAAAATTAGGCCTCATATTGGCTTGTAAAATGAGTTGAAATCAAAGATAAAATAAATCCTTCGTTAAGGGACTACAAAAACATGCTTCAAAGAAGTATGGAAAATTTTAATACCATCGCTTCAAGAATCATTGAGAACTTTCGACTATCCATTTCGATAAAGTAGTTTTAAGAAAAACGCGTTAAAAGTTTCGCCATCGGTCAAGCCATGACAAAGACGTCGGGTTACGAAACTCTCTAATTTCTAAAGTTTCGTCTCGATTGACTTGAAACTTGGGGAAAATAGTCCTCACATTTTGTAGTTTTTTACAAAAAAATTAATTTTTTGAAGTTTTAATACCTATGTAACCCCTTAATACTTAGGGTTTTTGAGAGTTCTTTTTCTTTAGGACCGTTTCTCTATTAGCATAACGGCAAGTGTAATAACAGAACATTGTTTAAAGGGGATTCAAGGGGAAAGAATGACAACAGCGTGACACACGTTCCTTAGGAAACAGTTCGTCGACTGTCTGGCTGAGCCGACTTAAGTAAATATCAGTAATCTTCTTCCTCTTATGTTCGCACGTTTGAGAAAGTGCAGTTGATAAGCGCTTGGCACTTGTCACTCACTAAAAATGCTCACCAATTCAACTCAACTCATCTGCTCTGTTGTCCCATAAGCGCAGATAACACAGACTCTGAAATCTCATGACAATTATACTTTACAAATTCGAGCTAGATTTTAAGACTTTTTAAGAGGGAGCGATTGCAGGAGATGAAAACTTATTTCCATTGTTTAATCAAATATTATTCCAGCTTTTTGTGGAAATGGCAAATAAAATCCATTTGTTAGGAACACAAAATAAGCCAATATCTTTAAGGATACTTTTTATGTCATCTTCTTTCGGGAAAAATGTTGAGAATGTTTCATGTCTAGTTAGCTGATCGGTTTTAAGGGCAAGCCTGGCAGAAAATTCAAGGTTTCGTATTTTTACCTCTACATCTTTTACTAAAATTTATAATGTAAAGTAACTGTCATTTGCGTGGACTTTTAGCTCTCGCCAGATCCACAGAGAGCTTTACTCACTTCACTACTACAACAACTACAAATAACATGTGTTGTCCATCACTTAACTGGATTCTATGTACAGTCAAAATATGCTTCGTAAGCTTCAGAAACGACACACAGGGGGGTAATTGGATCTTAAAATGATGATTAAAACCCATAAGCCATTTAGTTACAAAAAATTTTTTTTGTTTTAGTTAATTAATTACGAAGAAATAAAAAAAAAATAAATGGACTAAAGTCATTTGAATGAATTTATTTTTTTTTAAATCAAAATCATAAAAAAGGACACAAAAATATGGTGGACAATGGTTTGAAAATTTTATTTTTCTAATATTCAAATTTTATTTAAAATCTGCAGCTGTTGACAGCTAATTAGGCACGATGCTTATTTTAAGCTGAATGTACTTAATCAACTAAATATACAAACACAAATGAGAATAATGCAAAGCACGGACAACGGACAGGGGACAAAAATAAATTTTGTAAAGACACAGAAATTTCCAAATTTAATTGGCAGTGTTTAGTATCATTCGAAAGAACATTTTTTGACATTTATCCTTGAAGATTATCTCTTTCAAATTGCGGGATTGTCCACATATGCCCTAGATTTCACATATCCCCACAGAAAAATGTCCAACGCTGTGATATCACATGATCTTGGTGGCCAATCGGCCGGCCCAAACCGTGAAATTATCTAGCCACCAAAGTGTTCTCTCAATAAATTGATTGATTGATGCAATGTGTGGAAAGTGATGCCGTCTTGTTGAAAGCAAATGTCACCGAGATCACGGTAATAAATTTCAGCATGAAGTAGTCCATTACCATGGCGCGATAACGATCGTCGTTGACGGTTACGTACTCACCAGCATCATTTTGTTGAGCCAAAAATGGGCCTCTTCGCTGAACGAAAATTTACTCGAAAAGGTCGGATCTTTTTGGAACTTTTCATGAGCTCATAAAGCGAAGCGATGCCTTTTGGGAAAATCGAGAGACTTCCGTTCTTGCACAAGCTATATTTTGAACACTTTCAATTTAAGATCTCGACGTAAAATGCGCAAAGTCGATCCAAACGTCAGTCCGAGTTTACTGCGAATCGCGCCGAATCGACTCTATACGTTCTCCATGTATACTCTCAGCTACGACTGCTATATTCTCTTCTCTCCGTGCTGGACTTGGTCTATTCAGTCGAATATTATCCAATAATGAATGCTGGGTCTCAAGATAAGTGTTGGTGTTGCAAATAGTGTGCCCAGTAGGTAGTTGATTATAAGTTGAGCGAGGTGAGCGAAACTCATTCGTACGTAAATTTTCGTATATATGTTGAACGATTTGAAAACGTTGTTCCAGCGTGAGTCTTCAATTACCAAATGCCCATCAATACTGAACAAAAATAATATGACAGCTAGACCCAACTCACGCGTGATGTAACAAAGAAGATTGAAAACATCATCTCTACTTGGATTACCCATTGCAGACTGAGAAGACCAGAGCCTGGCAGATTTTTCACAAAATGAGTGATGTGCTATTTGCTATTTGAGGTATCATGAGGTGAGCTACTACCATTTTTAGAACAGAACAGGTTTTTAGAGGTAGTACCTCATCGCCACTCCCCCGCTGCTATAAATATACTGCTTATAAAGGACTCCGACATCATAGTAACACACGTGCCCACTGATCAAAAAACAACAACAAATAACAAAACTGTTATATTTTAAATGATATAAAAAAGAAGGCAGTTTCACTTAAGGGGGCAAGCTGGTCAAGAGCGCAAAAAATGGGCATATTTTTTAATTAATTTTGACTCAACCAAGGAATCAATACAAAATTTGTGAAATGGGTTTTTGTCCTGGATCAAAAAATATTTTTTTTAGTTTTTATATAACAACAGCAAGAGACGTGCGTAGGATTTTTTCACTATAAAACACGATATAAAATTGTTGATTGAAAAAAACTATTGTAATATAAAAAAAATCTTTGTCATTGTCTTTGGAGAACGGTATTTCGAATGTACTGTCAAAATTTCGTAGGAATCGGTGAAAATTTGTTTGTGTTACATATGTCTTCGGCCAGTTTAAAAAAAGTGATTTCGAGAAAAACGCGTTTAAAGTTGTGGGTCGCTCGAGGCATACCTGCGAGGCACTGCCGTCGAATCGAAAATTTGGGCATTTAGACATTTTTGCCACCATTTGGTATGTTATTTTTAAGACTCTGAAAAAATGCTTTTTTCAGACAAAATTTTTTTTTTTCGATTTTTTTTTTAATTTTAGTCCAGCTTCCCCCTTAATATAAAATTGACAGAACAATAATTTTTGATGTTATAGCAATAGTCGAGAGATTAGTAATGCGTATCGCTATTAGAGTTCTTCTTTCTCATTACGGTCACCCCTCGGCATAGATTGCCCAGTCCTTCGAGTGTATTTTTGACATGGAAAAAGCTCCTAATAAACATCGATTGGCCGCTGAAGCGAGTTTCAGCCGAGTTCTTCCTGCAAATTATTGTGCGCGGCTTGAAGTTTTTCCAACAAATGAAGGAACCTTCAATCTATACTAAGCCGGCTGCGAATGGTGGATAGATTTTTATGAGGAGCTTTTATTTCATGTCAGAAATTACACTCAAACTGGTTCACAGGGAATGAACCGCAGTTGCTTCTAACGGTTACTCGCATTTTCAGTGAATTTCAACAACCTTTCTGCACCTTTTGGAAACATAAATTAATTTTTTATTTCGGAATCCTTCTAATGCGATAATTTATTATTGAAAAGTGAAAAGTGGAACAGCATTTTAAGAAAAAGTTTTTGAAAAAATATTTTAATTTTTATTTAAAATTAACTTTTTAGAAAGCGACTTGTGAAAAATTTCAAAAAATTTGTCAACTTTATGCCATGGCCTGAAGCTTCCGATTTGATCAAAAAGTTTATTAAAATTTGAAAATATATATAAGTGAAGGAAAGAAGACTTTTTCGCACAAATTCTAACCAACATCAGGGAAGGGCTCAATAAAAAAGCTCCAGTCAACTTTCTGATTCGTTAAGCATTTTGTACAGCATTTTGTTTTTACAAAATTTTATATTTATTAGAATTTTTTTAGCTGATTGGCAACTAAGAAATATTGGGAAATAACAAAAAAAAATTGTATACTTTTTTTTTTGTATACTTCAACTTAAAAGTCATTTCAAAATCGACTTAAAAATTGATTGATTTTCTTTTTCCTTAAAAATAATGTATAAGATTTCCAAATTTTAGCATTGCGGATGGTTCTCATTTGCTAAAAAGTATAGGCAAATAAAGAAAAAATAGTGGTAAATCGATAAAACTACTTAAACGCGTAATGTGAGATAAAAATTTTAATTACGAAAATTATATTAAAATAACAACTAAAATTGATAAAAAGTGCAAACTGTAGAAACTAACAAAGAATAGGCGTTTTAAATAAAACTTCCAAAATTTGATTAATTACCAACAACACAAATTCAACGCATCAATCAGCTCTCCCACCAACATGCAGGCACATCATGCGATGCCTGATTTCCGTTGTCGTAGCACCTGTACGCACAGGGAATGCCAACGCCATGCCCACCTGGGCATTGTTAATCAGGAGGTACAGTGCAAATGCCTCGGCGAAGTGAATGCCTCGTCCATTTTTCTCGAAAATGTTTTGGATTTGGCTAACACACTGGCGCAAATCATGATCATCTGCGGCATACACGAATGCAAGGCGAAGTCAACTGTCGATGTGTCTACATACGCTTTCCTGCACTACGATCAGGTCTGTTACTGTATTGATACTACACCCAAAAAACGTTTGCGCAAGGAGGATCTATTTCATGAACTCGGCAAGCGTTGCTTGATGAATCGCGTTGAGGCACATCTCGCCTATACGATCATCAAGCGTGGCTTTAAGGCTTTCTACTATCAAGCGCGCGATGATCTGCATCGCAATGATGGACGTCCCACCTTCTCTGAGGAATGTGTTTATGTGCATGCCGCACGTAAGACAGCCGAAAGCTATGCGCGTTACGACGGTTTGTCGTGCGAGGAGCAACGCGGTTTCGAGGCGAAAATTAAAGTTGCCTACAAGAAGTTTTACGATCGTATGCTGACGCGTAGAAATCAACCGGTTGGCGAAGAATGCAATTGTTGCTTTTGCGCTAAGAAACGTGGCCATCTCATCTATGGCAAGCCGCCACCGCAGGAAAGGCCGCAGAAAAAGGAACCACATCGCTGTCCGTATTGTTGTCAAAAGAAGAAGAAGAAACTTATACACGCTGGTCGTGCTAGCGTGAAATGTCCCAAATGTCATCGGGTTATGCGCTATTGCGTATGTCCGAAATATGATTTCAATTTGGACTGGGTGAAGAGCATCTGGGTGCGACCAGATATGGAGTTGTACTATAAAGAGACCATTGAGGAGCGTCCACTAATAAGGACAGGTTGCGAACCCGAAGAGCCGGAGCCAGAGGTGAAGGGCTGCGATTCACAAGAACAAATAAAAGAAGAAATGGAAGAAGAAGGTGAGGGCGAAGAGGGCGAAAATGTAAGTCCAGATGTTCAAGCGAATGCACCTGCGGATGCAGATATCGATGTCCTTGTGGAAGAGGAAGAGGAAGAAGGGGAATAAACTAGAATGAAGTGACGATGGGAGACGATCAAATCATTAAGAAAGTGGATTACGTCGCAGGTTGGATTTCTAACTTACGTAGAGAAAATCATAATTTTTGAATTCTTTGACTGAATTTAGTCTGATTTGGTATATAAAAGATATATACACATATCTTCAACAATAATAAAATTACATCTAAACAAACAACGTGGTCTTTCTAATTGAATTGTTATTGAATGCTGAATTATATAAGATAACAAATGCTGAAAAAGTAATTGAAATAACATAAAATAGTATTAATTAAATAAAATAAAATAAAATAAAATAAAATAAAATAAAATAAAATAAAATAAAATAAAATAAAATAAAATAAAATAAAATAAAATAAAATAAAATAAAATAAAATTAAATTAAATTAAATCAAAATAAATTAAATTAATTAAATTATTTAAAGTAAATTAAATTAATTAAATTAAATTAATTAAATTAAATTATATTAAATTAAATAAGATAAATTTAATTGAAATAAAATGAAATAAAAAAAAATAAAATTAAATAATGGGATTTAGTGAAATTAATTGAGTGTTTATTTTTCTGTCAGTCTTTTTTTCTAAATGTGGAATAAAGCACATAAACTCATAAGCGTGCCTTACTTGGAACCTGAAAAGTAGCAGAATAGGAATCCAACAGATATATATTATGCTCATTAAATACACGGATTAACTGGATTCTTCTACGGTATATACGAGCTTCTGCTTCTTTTCACATGTCACTTTTATTCATTACTAAAGCTATTTGCAACAGGAAAGGTAATTTGAAACCGATCCATTTTATTACAATTAAACTTTTTTCACCGCGCTCCTGTGGAGCGAAATAAGAAACGACTTTAATGTTATTGAATTCCCATAAACAAATGAAATGATAAATCAACAGATACAATTTTACCATTTTCCCTTTTATGCGATTTTCCTTTTTATTATTCTTCGATTTTTTATGACATTTCACGAATTATTCGTAATTTTTTTGGCTTGAGTGGGATTTTCAGCTTTAGTCCTTTTTTTACCTTAAGTGTTAACACAATTTCCAGTATTTTCGTATCACAAATTTATGTATGCGCACATATTCCACCCACACATATGCACATAAGGGAGTATCAAGAGCGGAGCATTTGTATTTGTGTCGGTTTTTATTATTGTAGTTATGGCTGCAGCTGAGTAAGCGAATTTCAAAATAAATTGATACAACAAAAACATCTAGGAATACATATTGCACTCATAGATTTGCAAATATTTATGCTTGCGGAAAAAAATAAAAAAGGAACCGCATATAAGTATTATTATTGTTTTTTTTCTTTGAATTCCCTGACGGTATTTTATCGAAATTTAATGTGCGATTTTACTGGTATGTGTCTCAATTATATGATCCTTGAATTATTACCTTTTAAATAATGGAAATGAATAATACTAAAAATTTTCCGTAGTTTTTCCTAAAGGCAGCTTAATACTTTTTTACCAAGGTCCGACAGATTGTTCGGACGTCTTGGTAAGGTCCGACAGATTGTTCGGACGTCTTGGTAAGGTCCGACAGATTGTTCGGACGTCTTGGTAAGAAATATCGAGGATACTCGAATAAGTTCAAAGTGCTCAAGCGCTCGTGTTTGAATATTTTTGAACAATGAGCAATAAATGACTAAGAGTTCTCGTTTCTCGAATTCTTGAGCTTTCTGTAACTTTTGGATATTGATCGTACATGACATATATATATGAAAACGTCTGCGACTTCAAAGTTATGACTATCAACAGATATGTTGGAGCGAAGACGAGACTACGTTGACTGTTCATTTGATGATAGTATATATTTGGTCTTGTTGTTATTGGTTAGGAGACCCATTTGTTTCACAGAACTTACGATGCAGCATATACCAGCAGCTTTACGCTTCTGTGTATTTTGTATCGTATTGTTTTCTCTTGAAGAAGTCTCACTGTAGAGAGCCACCATGGCTTAGATATTCCTCACAGTTCTGACTGCGGTTCTGATATTGTACAGTGTCAGATCGCAGAGCCGTATAAGTTTCGCGGAGGTAGCGATTTAAGACACAGCGGCGTAGAGATAGATTCCTTTCGTGCCATCGAGTGCTTCTTCAAAATCGAGGGCAAGTCAACCGTTTTCTCATGGGTTGAATATCTGTTAAGTAGTAAAATTGCATTGCATTGTATTGATGGGTCTTAGTCTTTAACTATATATTTCACCTTATATGTGATGAAAAGAAGACTTATCTCACAATAATTAGCTCGGATAGTAGGACCTTCTTTTATTCGAATTCAGCAGAGAAAACGAAAGTTTCAATCTTCGAGCATGCTACCGTATCTAAGTAAATCAGCCAGTAAATCATCTGCACCTGCCCTATTACGCTTGTACAACGTTTACAAATCGTTCAACTTTATTATGAAAATTTACGTTCGGTTAGGAATGAGTTTCGCGCGCTTCGCTTATCTTATAATCAACTACCTATTGGGCGTACTATTTGCAACACATCTTAAGACTCAGTATTGGATAATATTCGACTGAATAGACCAAGTCCAGTACGGAGAGAATAGAATATAGCAGTCGTAACTGAGACTATACATGAAGACTGTGTAGAGTCGATTCGGCGCCGTTCGCATCAACTCGGACTGACGTTTAGATCGATTCGGCGCATTTTACGTCGAGATCTTAAATTGCAAGCAAGCTATATTTTAGCTTGCGCAAGAACTGAAGCCGCTCGACCTTCCCATGCGAAAGGGTGGTGCTCTTGAAAAGTTCCAAGAAGATCCGATATTTTCGAGCAAAATTTTCTTCAGCGATGAGGCCCGTTTCTGGCTCAGTGGTTATGTAAACAAGCAAAATTTCTCCGTTTAGGACAAAAACAAACTTAAAGAAGTTGAAGAGCTGTCATTGCATTCAAAAAACAGCGGTTTGGTGTTGGTCATCGGTCCATATTTCTTCGAAAATGAGGTCGGTTAGAACGTAACCGTCAACGGCGACAGTTATCGTGCCATGATAACTGAGTATTTGATGATTGAAATAGAAGCTTGTAATCTCTTCGTTCCCACACATCGCATCAATCAATGAATTAATTGGGAGAACACTTCCGTGAGCAGATAACTTTATGGTAGATCGGTTGATTGGCCATCAAAATGGTGTGATATCATATGGTTAGACTTTTTCTTGTGGCGATATGTAAGGTATAAAGTCAATGCAGACAACTCTGCTACGATTCCGACCGTGCAGCAAAACATCAAGCGTGTCACTCGCCAGTTATCAGTCGAAATGCCTGAACGAGTGATCGAAAATTGGTTTCACCATCTGCGACGTAGTCGCGGCCAACATTTGAAAGATATTTTTTAAAAATTAAATGCGCAAGCATGTCCTTTCGAATGATAATTAACATTTTGCCATAAATTTAAATTTTGTTTGTTTTTTCTTCAAAAAAGTAGGGAACCTCGTATTGGTTTCGAAACTTTTTCTGTTTTCCGTACGATGTGCAGATGCATACCTTAATTGCAGTTTGTCAAAACTAGTTTGTGGGGGAGTGTATGAGGAATTTAAAAATTTTGGTGCATATGCTCCGGCTAATATATTCTGGTATTTTATTGCCTGCGCGCTCATTTCTCCTTGTGGTTGCCATATGGAGCTCCTAACAGCTGACTTATGTATGTATATAAAATGCAGTAAATGCCACTTCTCTCATTTTGTTCACCTACAAACGGCTGTCCAGAGGACACTTTGTTGTTGACTTTTTTGCTTGAGTATAGGAAAAAGACATCAGCGCTTTCCACCAAGATAGTTGCTTCTAGGGTTTCTCTATTTTTCTTTTCTCTCCCACCCACGTACCCTGTAGGAAAGTAGGCTTGCTTTATTGTTGCTACCTTTTCTCTATATGAACTTTCACACTATTGGCGTCGGTTAGTCACACCTAAGTGCATTCAGCTCCGTCGGTTGCCGTGTTTATTACACCAGCGGCAATATATTTGACTTTCAGGGAATAGTTGACACCACCGCCTGACAGCAGAGGTAAGAAGTGAAAAGCAATAGCCGTGTCAAGGCTTGCAAGTAAATACAAGAAATATACAAATGTTCGTGGCATATGCGTATACGAGTATGTGTTCAGGTTATGACGTGGGCACATATAAAGTTATCAATAATAATACTATATACATATATACAGCAGTTCCTTTGCCACATTTAATATAGCAGCTGCGGCATATGTCACATTATTTTATGAGTTGTTTCATATCCTGTGAGTACGAGTATGTATATATGAAACACAAAGAGACCCACATATAATATATATACATATTTCATATATTTACTTCATGATATGTTGAAAAATTGAATTAATCTCATGGGTAACGAATATCTGTTTAAATTGAATCAAAAAATGTTGTATTGAATTTGATGTAAATTTACAGTCATAGAAAACTTTTTATACTCTTATATACATATCTATGTATGTAGTAATATATATTTTACAGACTAACAGTATTTTATATACAAGAATGTCTATTGAATTTAATTTAAATAATTTTTTTAATACAAATTTACTTTATCCTTTTTCAAAAATCAATTTTTTCCCAAAATTTGAAAATTCAAATCCTTTCTTTTAATATTTGTAAAATCGATAAAAAATTATATTTTATACTCTTAATTGTATAACATGATATACTAAAGACCCCTGCACCGCTTTGCTGTGGCACAAACTCAATGAATGTTTGGAAAATAAAACATTGGACATCTTTTCATCATAACCTTATTTACTCAATACCTGGGAGTATACATCTGTAGGGCATAAAGAGGTGATCTACTGACGGATGCCTACAGTATACTGAATTTATGGAGGAAACCTTCTGCTGCCTTGCATGGAGAGTGCAACACTAGGAGGTGGCGAACCCGGCTCCTCAAATGATGACGATGGAGAAAATTTTCCATTGGCCGACTAACAGAAAGAAGTTCGAAAAGCAATCGCGATCTGTTCGAATACTGCGGTGAAGAATTGATCAGGTGCATACATCAGATACTTTGCAGAATATATTCGCATGAAGGCATGCCCAACGATTGGAGCCTAAGTCTGCACCGATTACCGTGGGATAAGCTTTAATATCGCTCATAGATTCTGTAGAGCATATTGTATGAAAGACTACCGTCAACAGTCTGTTTGGACAATA